AGTTGTAAAAAAAATGCAAAGAATCTATAAATAAATTTAAAAGGGTTCTCGAATTTTTTTGCAAAAAAATTCTAATATTTTAAAAGGCATATTTGACTTAGATATTAAAATAAAATAAAAAGTAAGAAAAAGAGGCATGAGATGTGCCTTTAATCCACCTTTAATAAAAAAAAAAAAGGGGCTGGATGGGCCTTAGATCAAGGCCCCCCTCAATTTCAACAGTTCTCTATTTTGTTACAGAAGCTGGATTCAGCTCAGAGCCACACAGGATGGGCTTGATCCAGCTGACCAGCTTGGTCACTGTGCAAGCATGCGGGAATTATAATTCACGCATGCACAGTGAGCAGTTAATTAAAATGCAAACGGGGGAAGAAGAGCTTACCTGCCACTGTTGCTGGAGACGAAGCTGGTTGGATTGACTTTACTTATGATTTTCTTCAATCTATATTTGTTTCACTTCTTTGTTCATTGCTGCCATGATTTTGCCAGCATTGCTTGCTTCTTCCAGTAGGGCTGCAAGACTATTACGGACACAACATTGTTTAAGGTTCGCTCTTCTTTCCTCTTGTTAGCTTTTGTTCATACCTGTTTTTGCCAATGTTTTTTATTTTTTTCAACTGAGAGATTGAGTTTGTTGCTTTGTTTATATATATTGGTCCTAAACCAGCCAAACCTAAAAGGACACTAAGGGTCCTTGTGGTTTCTATTTATGAAAGTCACAGGTTTGTGGCTCTAAAATGTAGAATTAGGTCCTTAAAATTTCTATTTCGTGACCCCCTCGGTGCTTTATTCTTTCATTCAAAAACAACCTTCAACTTTTATCAAGTTCAAAGCTTAAAGACATGTAAGATTTTATAATGGTCAACAATCACATTCCTATGCTTGATGAACAATATCCACATAGCAATTTAACATCATTAGAGGTGCTCAAAAAAACCAAAAAACCGATTAAACCGTTTGTTCATTGCTGCCATGATTTTGCCAGCATTGCTTGCTTCTTCCAGTAGGGCTGCAAGACTATTACGGACACAACATTGTTTAAGGTTCGCTCTTCTTTCCTCTTGTTAGCTTTTGTTCATACCTGTTTTTGCCAATGTTTTTTATTTTTTTCAACTGAGAGATTGAGTTTGTTGCTTTGTTTATATATATTGGTCCTAAACCAGCCAAACCTAAAAGGACACTAAGGGTCCTTGTGGTTTCTATTTATGAAAGTCACAGGTTTGTGGCTCTAAAATGTAGAATTAGGTCCTTAAAATTTCTATTTCGTGACCCCCTCGGTGCTTTATTCTTTCATTCAAAAACAACCTTCAACTGTTATCAAGTTCAAAGCTTAAAGACATGTAAGATTTTATAATGGTCAACAATCACATTCGTATGCTTGACGAACAATATCCACATAGCAATTTAACATCAATTAAAATTGATTTTGAACTAAGGGATGTAGGCTGTCGTAAAACTGAAATATGTCAAGGATTTAATTATTTAATTTGGAACCACATGGCCCTATTACTGGTGTCGGTGCCTATGCTTTGCTGCGGAGCTAAATTATATTTTCTTCACAAAAATAATATTTAAGTACTATAAGTGTGTTTAAAAAAAAAAACTCTAGGATTGAATAATTTTGTTTTATTTTAATTGAACAATAAAAAAAGCAACAATATATAGATCAAATTAAAAAAAAAATAACACGATAACTTAAAGAAAAACATTTTTTTTAAAGAAGACAAAAAATATATCTCAATTCACAACCCATTAAATATAACATGTTAAAATAGAGTAAAAAAAAACATAAAAAAATAAATCATGGTCAACCCAAGTTAGCATGAAAAACCTATAATCTCAGTAATTAGAGTAAGTTAATCCGAGATACCCCTCTAAATCCGTAATTTAAATCATAAGATCAGAATAACTCATAAAAATAAAATAAAATTATAAAGCCTTTTTCATATATAAAAAACTATCAATCCGTATTAACTTTTAAACTCATAATTTGAGTCATTAGACCCAAAGCATCCTATATAGAAGAATCATGAAGTCTAATTCCCATTCAATTAAATATTGAAGGATAAAATTAAAAATATCAATTATATAAAATGATTCAAAATAAAAATAGCAATTAAAATGATGAGAAATTCAAGATTGAAATACAAAATAAATTTTATAAAATTTGATTGAATGATGAAATTGAAAAGAAAAATTAATTTAGCAAAATAACAAAAAAATAAAAAAAATAAAGATCAAAATCAACATAGAAAAAAATTGCTGATACATCAAATACCAAATGGATCAAATAAAATTGTCATCATCAAATTACATATTAAATACACTCAAGTTAATTATGTTGATAATATCATTTATAAAACTTACAATTCATTAAATTATTTGGATTTTTTTAGTTTTTCTTTTTCTACTACAATTCTCTTAATATGTATCTATCATGATAATATTTATGTCAGTATTTATTAATAGATTTAATAATAAAAGATTTAGTTAATAAATATCACTCTAATATATCAATAAAATTTTTTTATTAATATTTATCAATTTAGCAGTGATCGTTATATTTAAAAGGTTGCAAACATTTGGAAAACGTAGCAATTCGTAATTGACAGGTTAGCATGGTGCAAAGATTTTGAGGAATTGTCCAACAATATCGTTGTTTCTTGACACGGCTTCACAAACTTGGAAAATGTTGAAATTTCTTAGAGGTGTTCATGGAGTTTTCCCACGCTGAAAAATTATCTGTAATAATTTGTTAATTTAAATTTATTGTACTTATCATAATCATTTTACATATCTATCAAGTAAAAAAAATACATTAAGTATCTTTTCGAGAAAAAAAATGACATGATAAAAGATATACGTTAACGACATCAACTTTAAAATATATATATTGTCCAGAAAAATTAAGGAAATCAATCGATCAGGGTTTGGTGGCTTCGAGCAAGTTATGCAGTAGTTCAGAGGAAACTCCAACCCCACTTCGTCGGCGATTTTCAAATGCTTCATCTCTTCCTAACGATAAGAGGATATTTTATGCCAGGAGTGATCAGTCCAGTCCGGCGGCCAAGAGAATGCTAGCCTCAGGGATAATGCATGGCGTTATGCAAGGCTCGCCACAAAAAAACCATTCCAGGTCGATCACGCTCGATCGAGTTCATTGGATAAACAAAAAGGAGTCGCTTCTACTTCCAATATATATTATTTGATGATGAAACACCAAATGTGAAAGAAAAGAAGGTTCTACTAGTAGGAAGTTGAGGAGCCAATACTTTTGTTTTGGCGGTTCAAGCCTTTGTGAAAACACCAGGGAGCAGCATCGGAGCCAGGGTTCCAATCCTTCTGTTCCCCAAAAATATTTCAAAGCAAAGAGGAGAAAAGGTTGAAGGTGGCGGCTCGGTTTTCTTTTTATTATTTAATGGTGAATTTATAATATTTAATATCTTTAGTCATTGAATAAAGAATAGTGATAATCCTCTAAATAATAAATTATTTTTTGTTGATTTTGTTTTACAAATGATATAAATTGTTACTAGCGTTACAAAGTTTTAAGATGTAAACTATAGTTTTTTAAACTACAGCGGGTAAAAGAAAAACAAACTAAATTACAAGATTTCAAGTGTTATTTTTTAAAATATTTATTTTACTATCAACAAATTTTATATTTTACACTTTTATACTACAAAAGGACGATATTTAAACAGATCCAAATATAGAAAGTAAAATCTATAGCATTAATCGATGTTCAATGTTGTTTGATGCTAAAATTTGGTTGATTTCACTAACAAAGTTTAAATAAAGTAGGAGAAGGAGGAGGCAAGTCTTTGCTAGGACCATTGAGCAAATAAAAGGGAGCAGATTGATGTTTTTTTCCAAGTAAGGAGTGTCGAAGTAATAAATAACTTTACAAGATTGGGATCGAACCAAAAGAAGGTTAACTATATAAATTAATAATAATAATAATAATAATAATAATAATAATAATAATAAGTTAAAGATAATTTTGAGATGTGAGATTAATGTAAGGATTAAACATTGATAAAAACAAATATCAAGGTTAGAGGATCCACTAATGGTATTTCAAACAAGTATAATATAAACTCTTTTTATTATTCAACTAGAAACCATATACAAATGAGGTTCCAATCGGATGATTTATAATTAATAACTCATCATAAATTGTTAACATGATCATATTAATTATGTTATTTAAGTAACACTAAACTTTTAAATATTGTAAAAATTTATGATACTAACTTATGTTAACAAATCAAGTTTATTTTATAGCACATGTATAGGTTATACCATATAGCTGGTTATGAAAGTGTCAAGTATTTGTTGTACCAAGTATTATACAACATAAATCCAAGTTAACTATTTAATAATCAAGGTATTAAGAATTAAAAAGATAAAAATACAAAGACATGTTAATAGCAAGTTGTTTAGGATATAAGCATTAAAACTCATATTAAGTTTATATTATACTTATCCAACCACCATTAGTGAAACATTTTCATCTTGACATATTAAACTTAGTTAAACATAATGAAGAAGAAAAATATAAATAAACAATTTAAGAACATAAACATGATATAACTAAGTATAGTAAAGGAAATGAAATGCATAAATAAAATATTAATGAAAGCAAAACTTAAGCATTATATATATATATATAAAGAGCAGGAACATAATTTTAATCTAAAAACTAAAATACCTAAATGCATGGTAAATGTCTTTTTTTGTAGGCTAAAATTTTAAACTATTGATTTGATGACTAATTATTGAGTGGGTGACCACCTCTTGACTTGGTAACAATCTTTATCTTTTTATCTGTAGAAAACGTTATTGTTAACATCAAAATTTGAACAAATGGTCTTCATGTAAGTTCTGAGAAATTGTCTCACCTTTCCAACAAAAAAAAAATCGGTGCACTTGGACTTCTAGAACTTGAGATATGGAATAAATACTGAACAATATTTGGGTTGCAGGATATATTCGACTTTCTCTTTTGATGCTAAGATTTGAATTTCCAAACGGTAGAATTGAGTCTTCAACTCTCATGAATGTTTTAGGCCTATGTTTTAGCTTTCTAGCCATATAAACCAAACTGAAATCCAAGATTTATAGCTTCAGATATAACCCAATGACTGAATAATGTTTCAGTTTTAATTGAATCAACATATTTTTTCTATATTTAGCCTTTTTCCTTTTCTTTTATTTTTAATAGTTAAAAAAATTGTTTAAATTTACACAAATGATTTTGAAAAAGACTATTCAGGTGCTAACATTCATGGGCAGGACTTGACAAAACAATGTGTTAGAAAAAATAATTCTTCATAAACCAAGTTCAATTTCCAGTTGGCAAAAAATAATCTATTGCAATTCAAAATATTATTTTATAATAAACTCAAAATCAAATCCAATGCCCGAGCATAACCTAGGTCAATATGTGTACGTGAGTTAAGTCTCAAGCCTACTTTGCTTTTTTAAAGTTAATTTTAACTTTTTATTTTTTAAATATCAAAAAAGATTTTTTTATTTTTACATGAGATAAAGTTCTGTCAGAGGATTTTAGGTTTTACTAAAACATGTTAACTAAGAATTCTATGAGATCAATTTCTCATTCATTTATAATTTATTTAAATCATGTTAATATTTAATATTAAAAAGCTTATATTAAAACTTAAATTCCAATATTTTTTTTAATAAAAACCTCACTTTTAATTTATACTCAAATACATTCATTAGCCATTTTCTTTAAACAAAATTTTCCAGCAACACATGCCCAACAACCTTCTTCTTAGCGGTATACAATTAATTATTGATTAAACTATTTCATACAGAGTACGGACAACTTACAAATTCCAACTTTCAATGGCTAAACTATGAGTTCTTTGACCTGTTGGTATCTATCCACACGCAAGAAGTTAATTAAGATGTGCAAAGTACTTGATAAAAAAAATATAGTCATTACAGAAACAGTAAGTATAACAGTGTTACATTGAAACACTCTACCTTCTTGCCTCTATGTAACGCTACATGATAATTACCATTACTACCACGACTAGGCTGTTGCTACTTCGAGGTTTTTTTAATCATTTTAATTATCCTAACACGCTTGAATTAAACCCAAAAAGATACCAATTTTTAGTTCTTCGTGTAACTAAAAAAGGTTCGGTTCTTACCTTATTATCCTCGTATAAATTTCTCTACATAATGCCCTTCAATTTAATGTTTGTGTTATTTGAGGTTTTTACTTCTCAATATTTATCTGTTCTTTTTTCAAAAAAAGAAGAAGAAATTCCTCTCTTTCGGATGCTTTTCAATTCGTGTTCAAGCTCTTGATTAAAACCTTTCAATAATCATAACCAAATAACCATGCATAAATTGGATGAAATTATTATTTTTAATCAAATCAGCCAGCAACCATTTTTATGTTAAAAAATCATTTTAATTATAAAACTTAAATTATGATATATATATATATATATATATATGATACAATATTATTCAAAACAAAATTGTTATTTTTAATCTAATCACCTAGCATCTTTTTCATGGCACTTTTCAATTTAGAATATTGTTCAGAATCTTCAATCCATTTGATAGAATTTATCTGCAAGAGCTTGCAAATATCACCATCTTTTTTTTTTTGTTTTTTGATTTATATGGGGTGTCCGGGCCAGCTTGCGCGCATCATGACTAATCCTCACGACCCACTGAATACCCCGCAAACCCAGTAGGCATGTAAGGCACCGTGGGGTGACAGGTGTGCACGCCAGAGCTCGAACCCCGGTACAATGGAAGGAGACAAGTCCCTTCCACCACTTTTTCTTAATGGTGGTGGTGGTATGTCGAGATCCGAGAAATCAAACCACTCCTTCAACATTGTATTTTTATAAATGGATGGAGGTTCTTAAATTTAACGTTGTTTTTCTACCATTCATTTACTTGGGACATTGGGTGCGATTATCTAAATATGAAACTAAGGGGTACAAAATTTGAACATATGAACATATCCCATGTAGAATATGAACATATCAATGGCTACTTTGCTACGTTCCATGTGATATTCAAGAATAAAATTTGAATCAACAATGTGAGAAACTCGCTATACTAATTGTTTTTTTTTTAATTCACTGCAACATTTTCTTCACTAAATTGTATGGTAGGCTGTAAACCTAAATTTAAAAGGTCTTAAAAACCTCATATAAAACTTAATTTTCCTTGGACATAACAATAAGGACTCAATCTTTCTTGACCTCAACTAAAGAATGACATATTTCTCTTGGGTTTATTTGGGTTTATTCAAGGAAATAATCCATTTTTTTGGGTATGGTTACATTTTGAATTTTACTTTCTCTAGATTTATTAGTTGTATAAAAGTATTTCAATAATTCAATATATTTTTATCGATATTAATATTATGTAAGAAATAATGTGTAAAAATCTTTTAAGAAAGAGATAATATGTAAAAATCTTTTAAGGACTCACCATATTTTCATCTATATTAATATATATGTTAATGATTTTTTTTTATTAATACACATGTCAGAGATATTTCATCTCTTTAATGCTATTAAGGCAATATTATATTTTAGCCCTTCTTCTATATAAAAAGATTAATAAGATATAAACAAATCATAAATCCTTTAAACAGGAGGTTAAAATCTTCATTGTATATTGCTTATTTATTTTCAAAGTATCTCTCGGTAATATTATTTTATTTTCTCTCAAAAATTCATTGACTTGACCATTACAGAATCCAAAAAAAAACTTTTTATAAGTATCAAGCACCCGCCTCCAATCATCTTGGCTACGAAGAATGAGTTAGATTGCTAGTTTAAAGAGAATAACCGATTATCCAAGACATAAACCCTAGAAACTTGGATATCTTGAGACATCATCAATGGCGTCGTCTGTGTGATAAAAAAAATCATCATTTTATTTTTAATGATATTTCCAAGTCATTCCATGACATACTTGGACTACAACACTTAATGGACCTGCTCGTTACCACGAGCACTTTTGGTCATTCAAACTTCCAACAACTAAGTGCAACCCTTCACTTGGGTTGTGTTGACTGCTTAAAGGTAAAATCAAATTTTATCACCTCAACAAATCTTAGCACCTGTGGCATCCCCACCCTCGAAAAGGATTGATAAGGGGTTTCTCTAGTGCAATAATACCACTCTCTGAATGATGGATTAGAGGGCTCCTTAAAACCCAACAAATCACCTTAGAGTATATTATCCTTGATAGGAAGTAAGTTTATTTTTAAATTTGAATAATTGTCTCTTTGACATACATTTTTTATCTATAAATGTTCAATGGAAACTTCTGGACTCTTGCAAAATCTCCTTGGAATGAGTTCTTCCTATTGCAATTGCACAATCTCTTTAGAAAGGGTTCTTTCTATTATGTGAGCATAATCTCCTTGAAAGGGGTTCTTCTTAGTACGGTTGCATAATCTCCTTGAAAAGGGTTCTCTCTAGTATGATAGCTCTACCTTCTACGACAGCTTGAGATGACCAACCTCAACAAAGCAACAGGACCCTTGCCTTATGGTCAAATATATACCAACAAGGCTAAATGGAACTTAGAAAATTAACACAACTCTTCAGATAAGTCCCTAGACCTTATGTTATCTTCAGGGATAATCTCAAATCTCCCACTCTTAGGCTTGGTCTCTCCCTCTAGTAAGGGGTAGTGGTGAGCAAAAAAACAAGAAACCAAAAACTGAGAAAAAAATAAAAAAAAAACTGAATTGAAAAAAACTAATTAAAATATTTGTAATTTTTTTTTGTTTGATTCGGTTTTAGAAACCTGAAGCCGGAAAAACCTCTTAAACTGAATCGAGGGTACTATAAATAAAAAATATAAAAAACACATTATTTTTCTTAACCCTAGTGTCCAGACTCCAGCCGTCCTTCTCCTTACTCCTAAGCTGCTCCCTCACAATTTCACACATTCACTCACAGATCTGTAACAAAATCCGGTTAATCCATCTTTATCAACAACCAACCACATCCCTCTTCCATACCATCTTCATCTTCAAACTAGCCAGTCAGCCACATCCCTTTCTCACATGGTCACACCCGACCTTGAATTATAGGACACACACCACACCGGCATATCGAACTAGTCTCCCACACCACTTCATCTTTAAACTACCAATCAACCACATCTCTTTCTTACACAGTCGCACTCGACCTTGAATTTTATGACACATATCACACTGGCACACCAAACCTTCAGAATCCAACTCTAATTCTAGCAAACCAGTCAGGCAGTCACCTCCCTCTCTCACACCTAACCTTGAATCGTGTCACAACTCATACTAGGTATGATTTCTTTTTGTTGTCAATCTCTATTTTTATTTTTTTAACATATACTATTCTGTTTATTTTTTTCTGGTTGATTTTTTTCTGCATTAAAAAATCTGTGATTAATTTACCAATAATGTTTTGGTTGTATTTTGTGATTTTTTTATGCATTAAAAAATTCTGTGATTAATATTTTGGTTATATTTTGTGGATTTTGGGAATATGGATCAATTTAGCATAAGGATGATTAATTTACCAATTTATTTTAATTATAATGTCTAGGTTATCTTGGATAAGGTTCTGTGTATATATCAAGATTAGATTTCTAGTTGTTGTACGAGAGTAACAACAATGACTAGGCTGCAGCAACAGGTTTCATGGCTAGACATTTCAAGCATGGCTGCTAGGGGTGGGGATGGGGATGGGGGTGGTGGTGGTGTTATGCATCAAGGCATAGGAGAGTCATCTGGTAGGAATGGTGGTTATGCTGGGAGAGCAGGGAATGATGGTGGGTATGGGCAGGGTCATGGAGTAGGAATGGGTGCACCACCGAGTCCAGTGTCATCAGATGGAATGGTTATTAATTTTGATTATTCAGGAAATCAGTTTGGGATGGATACAGAGGGGTTTAGTGGACGGAAGAGGATTATTGATGGGGTGGTGGAGAGGAGGCAACGAAGGATGATCAAGAATAAAGAGTCTGCTGCGAGGTCTAGAGCTAGAAAACAGGTACCATTATTTGTTTACAACTACTAAATATGTATTTTGATTTTGTTGACTACTAGTTTATAATGCCATGTACGAGTATCTTAGAAATGCGTTAATGCACTAATTATTCTTAACGCATCAATCTCTCAAGCTTTCTTTGCCCTTGTTGTTGATTGTTTTGAATAGTAAATCAAATACTCTTGACAGCTAGAAATTAAGAATTGGAGTTCTTCCAATTACATTTTAAAGAATAGCTAAATTGCAGGTTACTTGATAGGTGCACATGCCTGCCTGCTCGAATCTAGGGAGATATGGATTTATTAAGAGCACTTAAATTATATTGTAATTAATCACAGATATTTGATTAAATGCTTACACTTCAATCTTCAACATAAATATCATCACGTATATTTGTATGTTTTATAATAATTTTGCCTGTTCCGCGGCCTATACAGTTGCCTGTACCACAGGCCTATACAATTAAACTAGAAGTTGATTTTGAAATCTACAAAAATCTTGAATTATGTAAAAAAAATTTATATACTCATACTTTTTATTTTATAATTTATTAATTAAATTATTTACAATCATCTAATATGTCTAATTTTTTATTTTATAAAATTTGATGAAAAATTACATCTAACACTGGATAATAATTAGTTCAAAAGTTATTTTGATAGTAAAATATACTTTTTATTTTTACATATTCTAATTTATTTTATAATGTTATAATTTTAGATCTTGATTTCTAGGTTTTGATGTCAACGATATTAAGAAATCAAAGTGCAATGTTCTTATCATTTTGATGTGTTTTTCGATTGGGATAATATGCACAATGAAAATTTATATTTTTTGCATAAAGTGTCTTATTTTTTATCGCAATGTTATTTTGTTGTTTTTTTAAGCTTTTTTGAAAGCAATGCTTTGTAATTTAAATTTTAACTTAGTGAGTGTATTATTTAAATTTTGATGTAGGAGAAGTTCAAAACACAAATATTAGAAAGACTTGCAATATATTGAACTCAATATTAGCATTAATAATTTAATATAAAAAAATATTCAATTATAAAAAAATATTAAATATATTATAGAATCTTGTAATAAAATTAGATAATTATTAACATTAATCACAAGCCTATTAGAAAGCCAAAAAAATACAGGTTTTTTAGTTTTTTGTTAAAAAAACAAACTGAATCAAATTAAAACCAGCAGGTTCGAACTGGTTAGATTCTGGTTTGAATTTTTTAGTTTTAAAATTTTTTATTTTGATTATTTTTAAATAAAAATTGAACCGAATCTAAAATGTTCACTCCTAGTAGGAGGTTCTGAAGCCCCATGTCATTGCGAGGGAGGTTATAAGTCTTCAGTTCTTAAAAAAATACAATAACTCTTCAAAAAAATAATTGACTTGGTTTTCTTAGTGAAATAACACTATTTTTTTTGGGTTCCCCATTTTTTTTTAGAAAAAAATTTAAGTATGATCGTTAACAAAAATATATCCCTTTCATCCCTCGATAATTTTTAAAGTGTGGATGTTGATAAGGATTCATTCTCTCATGTTTTTATAAAATTTTCTAAGTATAAGCTTTATTATTTATAAATTCTTTTTAATTTTTTAGAAACAATTTTAAATATACACTTATGCTCATTAGGTTTCTCCATCTATTAATATTTTAAAAAAACATAGATTTCTCTGTAGTTTCCACCTCACCCTCTTTAAGAATTTTTGAAGTATGGAATGGAAATGCCGTTTTCCAAACAGGATAAAAAATGTTTTATAAATAAAGCAAAAGTTAGCTCACGATAAAAAAAACATGACAAAAATCACAGTGCAAAAATCGAAGATGACAGTTCCAAAGAGGGGCCGCTGGGGACCATTTCCCCATCCCCACTGTTAACAGTAAATCAATTATTACTATTTGTTTTTTTTATTTTTATACTTAAATATATTTTTAACATATTTAACTCCTATAAATCATTGCTATCACATCTACTTTTAAATCTAACCTCGTCCAAAACTTAGGTTATGAATTTACAGAATCAAAACAAAATGATATTGCTTTGTTTTTCTAAAGATAAAACGATTGTTTTGAATAATATTCAAAAAATAAAAATATATTTTTTAAAATAAAAATATTTATTTTTTAAATTAATTCAGCTAAGACTTAACAATGCTAACCTCCAAACTTATTAAAAATAAAACATTCGTTGAGTCAGGTATCAAATCAGCGGATTGCACTATCACGATTTAATAATTATATTATAAAAAAATTTAAAAGATGTAATAATATCATTTTTTTCTTTAATAAAATTTAATTTATTCTTATAGGTAAAAAAAATAACAATTTTTTTCTCTTACATAGTAAAAACATGTTCTTTAATATATTTAATCATTTTTATAATTGTAGTTAAAAAATATTAATTTGAAAAACACTATATTTAAATATATTATCTATCTAATCACACGTATCACAATATCAAATGAAATCTTGGTTTCCAGTCTAGAATCTATCACTGTAAAAGTCAGTCCCAAAATAGTAAGTACAGTTACATTTGGATTCTCATAAATTAAAGCATTATGATGCATATGAAAATGAGAAAATAAAAATGATAAATTTAAGAAGAATTTATATTTTGTATATTTTAATTTTATGATAAATTTTTTACTATATTTAAATAAATTTGTTTTTCTATATTTGAATAAAATTAAAATAACATAATATATATAATAAAAATATTAATTTTTATAGTGTTTTATTCTTGTTTTTACTGTAGATAAAATTATTTAATCAATAACAAATATTTTCTTATTTATTTTAGTTATTAAATTTTTATTTTTATTTTAGCTTCAACATTCCATACGATGTTTTGATATTTTCTTCTCTTTAAATGTTGTTGAGTATTGAAGGTTTTTGATGAAATTTTACAATTGAATTAAAAGCTAATTTGATGAAATAAGATTTAATTTTTTAATATTAAAAATAATTAAAAGAAGAAGCACCAAAGCCGCAGCAACAACAACAAAAAAACATAGGGCTTTTTTCTTCAAATTTATGTTAAAAAAATAAATTATGTCTAAAATTCTTAATCTAATCATTTTTGTCCCTTTAGTTTTAAGATTTTATGTTTTGGTCTAAACTTTATTTTTTTCATGTTTCAATCTTATAATTTTTAAAGAGAATAGAGAGAGTTGTTGAGAAATGAGAGAGAAGAGAGAAAGTGGTTGATTAACCATATTTTAATAATAAAAAAAACAATCTACTTCCAACAACTAAGTGCAACCCTTCACCTGGGTTGTGTTAATCGCTTAGAGGTAAAATCAAAATTTATCACCTCAACAAATCTTAGCACCTATGGCATCCCCACCCTTGAAAAGGATTGACAAGGGGTTTCTCTAGTGCAATAATACCACTCTCTAAATGATGGATTAGAGAGCTCCTTAAAACCCAACAAATCACCTTAAAGTATATTATCCTTGATAGGAAGTAAGTTTATTTTTAAATTTGAATAATTGTCTCTTTGACATACACTTTCTATCTACAAATTTTCAATGGAAACTCCTGGACTCTTGCAAAATCTCCTTGGAATGAGTTCTTCCTATTGCGATTGCACAATCTCTTTGGAAAGGGTTCTGTCTAGTGTATGAGCACAATCTCCTTGAAAGGGGTTCTTCATAGTACGGTTGCATAATCTCCTTGAAAAGGGTTCTCTCTAGTATGATAGCTCTACCTTTTACGACAGCTTGAGATGACCAACCTCAATAAAGCAACATGACCCTTGTCTTATGGCCAAATATATACCAACAAGGCTAAATGGAACTTAGAGAATTAACACAACTCTTCAGATAAGTCTCTAGACCTTATGTTATCTTCAGGGATAATCTCAAATCTCCCACTCTTAGGTTTGGTCTCTCCCTCTAGTAAGGGGTAGTGGTGAGCAAAAAAACAAGAAACTAAAAACTGAGAAAAAAATAATTGAAAAAACTAAATCGAAAAAAACTAATTAAAATATTTGTAAAAAATTTTTGTTCGATTCGGTTTTAGAAATCTGAAGCCGGAGAAACCCCTTAAACTGAATCAAGGGTACTATAAATACAAAAAAAAAACACATTATTTTTCTTAACCCTAGTGTCTAGACTCCAGTCGTCCTTCTCGTTACTCCTAAGCTGCTCCCTCACAATTTCACACATTCACTTACAGATTTGTAACAAAATCCGATTAATCCATCTTTATCCACAGCCAGCCACATCCCTCTTCCATACCATCTTCATTTTCAAACCAGTCAGTCAACCACATCCCTTTCTCACATGGTCACACCCGACCTTGAATTATAGGACACACACCACACCGGCATATCGAACTAGTCTCCCACACCACTTCATCTTTAAACTACCAATCAACCACATCTCTTTCTTACACAGTCGCACCCGACCTTGAATCTTATGACACATATCACACTGGCACATCAAACCTTCAGAATCCAACTCCAATTCTAGCAAACCAGTCAGGCAACTCCAATTCTAGCAAACCAGTTAGGCAGTCACCTCCCTCTCTCACACCTGACCTTGAATCGTGTCACAACTCATACTAGATATAATTTCTTTTTGTTGTCAATCTCTGTTTTTATTTTTTTTACATATACTTTGTGATTCTATTTATTTTTTTCTGGTTGATTTTTTTCTGTATTAAAAAATCTGTGATTAATTTACCAATAATGTTTTGGTTGTATTTAGTGATTTTTTTATGCATTAAAAAATTCTGTGATTAATATTTTGGTTATATTTTGTGGATTCTGGGAAAATGGATCAATTTAGCATAAGGATGATTAATTTACCAATTTATTTTAATTATAATGTCTAGGTTATTCTTGGATAAGGTTCTGTGTATATATCAAGATTAGATTTCTAGTTGTTGTACGAGAGTAACAACAATAACCGGGCTGCAGCTACAGGTTTCATGGCTAGACCTATTTCAAGCATGGCTGCTAGGGGTGGGGATTGGGATGGGGGTGGGGGTGGGGGTGGTGGTGTTATGCATCAAGGCATAGGA